TCTATCTATCTATCTATCTATCTATCTATCTATCTATCTATCTATCTATCTATCTCTCTGTCTATCTATTATATTCAAAGATAAAGACAGATCTATCTATCTATCTATCTATCATCTATCTATAGGTCTTTTTTTGGTAAGTGTTTTAAGGCGCTCGCAACTGCATAAAGTCATATGAGCGCGGGACACATTAAACATTTTTCAGTTGTTAGGAATTTTTGAATTTTGCCCTGGTGGCGGCTGAAGCCTACTCTTCTTGATTTTAGACAACCAAGGGATCTTTAACGTGCGCAAATTGCACTCAGGGCCTCCGAGATTTTTCGCCCTTGTCCGAGAAGGCAAGGTGTAGATCTTTCCCACCAGATCATCAGGTTTGTGGCTGAAAGACAGCAGTAAGAAGGAGCCCAGGGTAGAAGTTGAAAGGCTCCAGAAAGAGTCAGGACTCCGGAGGAGGGGGCAAAGGAAGTGAGGGGATGGGGGCAGAAAGTGGAGACGAAAGCAGACGACTGAGCATTGCTAGAGAGCAGAAAAGGAGGGGGAAGGAGACAATTTTAGAGAAGAAATTTTCCGGTCGCAACCCGCATTCGAACCGGGTACCTGTGAAAGAGAAGCGAACACCTTAACCTCTAGGCCACGTGAGCATCCCATCTATCTATCCATCTATCTTTCTATCTATCTATCTATCTATCTATCTATCTATCTATCTATCTATCTATCTATCTATCTATCTACGCCCGTTCAAAAGTACAACTAGTACCTTCACCCAAAAGACAACGTGGGGATTTCGGTTCGGTATTCTAACGACTCTGGCAGCACTAAATAAAAATTATGCGTTGCGATGAGATGGAATCAGGCGCTCGTCAATTTTTGTTTTTCATTAAAAATCCACACAGGTGTTTTCAAATGGGCCTAAACGGGATTGAGCCAAAATTAGAACATTCAAAAGAAGTGCCCGACGTGCAGGATATAGCCAGTTTATTTCACTTCATTATTTTGACGAGCGAGTGTTTCACGACGATGCCATACAAATTTGTATCGTGGGTTGTTGGCGGGTGCTCTGGTGTGGTTTGCTTCTTCTTTCCTATGAAACATCTATCGTCCTTATCTCCCCTTCTTCTGTTTTATGTTTGTTACTCTCTTGTAACACATCTAATCTTCTGGCGCTCATATGACCTTATGCAGTTGCGAGCGCCGTAAAACTTCTACTAAAACTAAAACCTTTATCATTACTGGCATCTTATCTCCTTGAGTACGCAGTGGACACATGTGTTCGATACGAGGCACACTAAAGACAATGTTGCGGCACATTTTGAACTTACACACACACACACACACACACACACACACACACACACACACACACACACACACACACACACACACACACCCCCACACACAAACACACACATACACAAACACACACGCATACAAACACACACACACACACACACACACACACACACACACACACACACACACACACACACTGGAAACGTACATTTTTGTATTATTTCATAGTTTTCATGTCGTTGTCTGTTACTGACAAAGAAAACGGAATTGAAGAGTCTTTGTGAATAAGGAAGTTACGTGTCTGTACGAAGGGATTGGCTTTTTGGGGGTTGGAGGAAGATTGTGTTTTCCATTGTATTGAAGCCGATTTTAACTCGGGGTCGAAGTGATAGACCCAGCTTTCATCCATTGTTACTAAACGCTCAAAAAAAGTTGTCAGGATCTTCATCAAACATGTCAATCATTTTCCCTCATCTAGAATTATCTCTGTTGAAAGTACAGCAAAACAACATGTGATCGAAAGAGTAAAACCAGAGTCACAATTTTCTCCCCTTCCTTTTACATGTAGTCGTGTATTGCCCACTTTCTCAAATAGTGGAAAGACACCTTATTACCTAACCCACACCTTTGAAACTTTGCAGGCGTCCACAGCATCCACGTGGCTAGGACCAAACTTTAAAAAATCCAGGAAACTGCTTTCCGCGATTTTTCCGAAATACTTTGTTCCATCCACACAGAGTTTCAGCATATCAATGCCGTTGAATGCAGTGTTCAAGACATATTTCAAGATTTCCGTTCACATGCTGGGCGCACTTAACTCACAATGACTTGACCATTAAGTTCGTTCATCGAACGGGGTACCCAGCAAGTATTATATATGTGTACAATGTTATATATTATTTATATGTGTTTGTGTGCACATATGTATATTTCATATTTACATAATAAACATGCACATGTGTTTATAATATACAGATGTATATATATATATATATATATATATATATATATATATATATATATATATATATATATATATATATATATATATATATAATATAGGCAATCGGGCGATGTCAAAAGCACACACACACACACACACACACACACACACACACACACACACACACACACACACACACACACATACCCCCTCCTCTCTCTCTCTTTCTCTCTCTCTCTCTCTCTCTCTATCACACACACACACACACACACACACACACACACACACACACACACACACACACACACACACACTCTCTCTCTCTCTCTCTCTCTCTCTCTCTCTCTCTCTCTCTCGACTCATATGGGTCAGGTAAGTTATTAGTTGGGAGAAAGCGATGAATAAATGCTAAACAGGAACTATAGGTGGCTAAAAATCCAATAAACAAAAAAGATCAGTGCCATGCTGACAATAAATGTTCTGACAATACATGTAGTTAGAGAAAGGCTGAATGATAAATACATGTATTGCTGATAAAACAATACATGTGTCTGTGCTGCTCAAGACAGTCTCATTCGTAACTTTGTAAGCAACACAGTAGCCAATTTGGCAATCAAGGGATACTCTATTCGCTCTGAGGGAAGTCGATGGATTTGACGTCATCGCTGAATCGCTGAACCCGCCAAGCTCGGTTTGTCCTCATACAAAGTTCTGCGACGTGACAGGAGACGAAAGTTACGAGCCGGCATGATAAACAAACGTGAAAGAATGAGGCTCTGTCTCGACAAAACAGCAGTGAGTCCCACTTGTCTATTTGAGCGCCTTCAAATCGGCAAGGTGCTTTTTGAATGTTGATACACGTTTGTTTTGATTTACTTAAAACTAAATGAAAATCATCAGCAGCAGTAAAGATCTAGTCAACAGTCTAGCTGACAAAAATCTGACCGCACCGTGGTCTTGCCCAGTTAACAAACCGCCCCTGCTTCTCTCCCTATCTGTAGTGGTACAAAGGGCACAGGGCAATAACATGTGCGTGGTGTTCCAGGAGCTAGGGGGCGCTGTTGTCGACTGCCGGTCCCGAGGTCTCCTGGACGTGCCCACTCACGAGATCCCACAGAACGCTGTCAAGCTGTACCTCGATGACAACTCCATTGACCAGCTACGTGACAACTGCTTTGGCCAACTTCACATCTAAAGGCTCTCACCATCTCTCGAAACCATCTCAAGCAAATAAGTCGTTGTGCCTTCTTTGGACTGGCTGGTTTGGAACTGCTAGACCTGGAGAAGAATCATCTCGACCTCAATGTGTCCATGTGGGAAAATGAACTCTTCACAGGTGTGTCTCAACTGAGAACTCTTAACTTATTGGACAGCAAAAATGGTGGCCGTCAAAGTGAGTTTCATAGCCGCTTACTGAGTGGAATTCATAGTTTAGACACTGTCTCTGGATACATTCTATGGGAATCTCACTTTTGGCTTGCTGTTCGTTAATATGACGTCACTAGATCATCTCACTTTAAGCGGGAGTGTTAGCACGTTCGTGAATAACTCATTTCAAAGTCTTCAAACTCTCGGACTTTAGGTACTTATCATTAACGATGTCAATAATTTACATACAATAGAACTAAATGGCTTCCAACATTTTCATAATCTCCTGTCGCTAAGAATTACTTCGACAGGACAAAGTATAGAAGGCACAATACGAAGCTTGTACTCGTTTCGAAATCGTTCCATGAAGACCTTGTACTCTCAAGATATTAGCAAATCTCAGTTCATGGGCGGGGTTTCTAAGTGTTCTGACAGTGTGATAGACGCTTTAAAGGCGGAATTTTTGTCCCAGATCTGTGAGGAAAATTTCTACTTAATGAACAGTAAGTTGAGTAAGGTGTTCGTTGTGGAGGGCAACTCACTGACTGGACCTCTGTTGCAGAAATGTCTCGAGACTTTGGATGTGTTAAATAATCCTCTGATCGGAGATCGGATTACCCTTTGGCAATTTCAGAGATTCAAAAGCTTTCAAAGTTTTCAATGCAGCGAATCGAAAAGACACCTCATTCGCGTCGCAAAGGTGGAGCAATAATCTTGTTACTGGAGCTAGATCATGCAGACAGATACGTGAGGATAATGTTGCACTCACAACAACCGATGTTTCAGAGTCAGGTCCCATCAGATCTTTTCCAACTGATATAGCTGAGAGCAGAAATCTTGAGGCATTCACAAGCAGTAAACTGGAGGAATCCTCACAAAGCACAAGTTACTAGTATGGGAACATGGACAATTCTCAACAATGCGAGACACCCCCAGGCGAAAAAATCTCAACGATATAAGTGTGTTTTCCAAAGACTCTCGAGGTGGTTCACTTGGAGAGTTTAAGCAGCAGCATGGGACCTGCTACTAAAGACATAACAGTGACATGCGGAGAAAATCTACGAGAAGTCTACATATCTGGGAACAATTAGCATCCTTTTTCTGGGACCATCAAAGGCTTCAGTGGTCTCGAGATTTTGGACTTTTCCTACAACGACTGGTCTGACATGTCCCCAGTGTTTTTTCAGTCCCTGACAAGCGTGAAAACCCTCAAGATGAGAGGGACTCTGTTAGACAGCATGTTTATGTCCAGACATAGCGAGCAGTTGTTCCGATATCTGACACAACTCAGGTCTCTGGACTTGTCCAACAATCAGCTAAAACTTCTTGCCAGAGGCACTTTTAAGAACAACTTTCAGCTTCAGACCCTAAACTTAGCAAATAATGGGTTCACAACAATCCCTCTGGACTTGACTCTTCGGCCCAATCTGACCTACTTAGACCTCAGCGCGAACTCCATTTCTCAACTGGGCGTGAAGGACATGCAGTTAGTCGAACAACACGCTAGCACAGTCACAGAGTTCTCACTCCACCTAACGGGAAATATTATGGTGTGTATTTGCTCCAGTATCCCGTTCTTCACCTGGCTCCAGAACACAAAGGTCAGCTTGGACAGACGCATGACCTACAGCTGTCTCACGGAGAATGGGACGCTGACCACTCTGACGTCAGAGCTCTGTGGCGGAAGTGTCAGGGGCAAACCGCTCTCCTGCTTTCTGTTATCCTCCTGTGCCTCGTGTCTCATGGATCTGTGGTGACCATTTTGTGTTGGAAGTTGAAAACACGACTCAAGTCTTTCATCTACAGGGTTTTCCTTCAAAGTTTCGTCCTTCAAGGCCCACGTGATTACTGACTCGGCGTTTTTATCGGCTACCTGACGCCGACACCAGACTGGCCTGCTTCACTCTCAGAGATTTCACCCAGTCTCGACTTGGTCCGTCCACCTATGTCAGGGACATTAACTTACTCCCGGCCTTAGATATGGTCGAATCCATAGTGGATGCCGTGAATTCCAGTTGGAGAATTGTCTTACTTGTGACTTCAGATTATCTGGACAGAGAGTTGTGGTCGTATTTCCCCATGAAAACAGCTGCCTACAAAGTCAGTCCGCCTAATCCAGGTCTGATCGTTGTTCTGTTGGAGAAAACCGTTCGTCACCGGATCCCGGCCTGTCTTCTTAGTGCACTTGAGGAAGACAGTATTCTGTGTATCCCTCCCTTCAGACACTTGTCACGTGACATAGAAGACAGGCTGGCTTGGTTACTTCTTCTTTCTCACAGCTACTGATGGTTCGGGTAACAATAGCGAGTCGTTGAGTGCACTTAAGGAAGACAGCATTTTGTCTA